CCTTCACAGAAGAATTGTAAGGGTTTTTTTTTTGTCTTCTAAGTCTTCATGTCTACGGTGTTTTTTTTTTTTTTTTGCTATTTATTTTTTTCTCTGACAGTGACATAAACTGAGGTAAACATCTGTGACCAACACCTCTCCTAAGGGGCAAAGGGTCCCAACCCAACCAGCAGAGAAGCAGGTGGTGAGGGTGGCGGCAGCAGCAAGGCCCTGACGGCGAATGTGCGGACCTGGTTCCAGCCCTGCTTCCCCGTCAGGCTGTCACTGCCCCCTCTCTGTGCCTCTGAAAACAGGGGCTGGGCTACAGAACTAAGGTCCCTTCCCAACTCTAATATTCTAGATACTACGACGAGGGAGAAACTCCCAAACAGGATCTTAACAGAGAAAGAGAGAAAGAGAGAGAGGGCGCACGTGAGGGACGTCTACTTGGAATCTCGCTTCCTTGTTATTGCAGGAGACAGGATGTCGAGAGGCCTAAGGCAAAAGGAGAAGTCGCGGCTGGGAGAGGTGCCCGGATGGGCTCCAGGTGGGCCAGGGGCAGTGATGGGGGGGCCTTCTCTGAGACTGGGCCCTTGGTGGGAGGAGGGGTTTGCTACTTACCTGGCATGTGGAGGGCCCCAGTGCCCGCCGGGGAAGTGGGTCTCAAGAGGGATGGGCACACTGAGGAGGGGGAGGCCAGGCCCTGGGGCAACCGCACACTGTTTGTAAACTGGACCCGGGCAGGGCAGGGGGACCTATAGCCCTTTTGCGTGGTGGGAATGAGGGTGAGTGGAGAGGTGGGGTACCAGGCCGAGGGTCCCCTCTGGTCAGCCTGGCCCATTAGGGAGCCCCCTCAGATGGCCGAGAGCCCCAGGAGGGACCCTGGAAGGTGTGGCCTGGGACAGTGGGTGGGGCACTGCAGGCAGAGGGAGCAGCCTCACCCATGTTGAGGTTATTGCGGGGTCCCAGGCCTCCAAAGAGAGGGCGGGGCTCACGAGGGAGTACAGGGTGAGGCTGGGCTCCTCTGGTCTGTTTTGCTGCCTGGGGGCCTGAACCAACCTTCAGGTGCCTCCTGGCCGGGTTCCCTGAGGGGTGTGCTGAAACGCAGGCCTGGATGCCCTCTGGCAGCTGCCTGGTGGGAATCCTGGGGCAGAGTTACTGAGGTGTCTGGATGCAGCCACTGAACACACACGGCTACGTGCACACCTGTGCACATTCACCCCTCCTTCCATGGCCCCCCATTCTCACACCCACACTCCAGTACTAGCAACCTGGGGGACATGGGATGGGGTCAGCCCCAGGCGGACATGTTGGGCCCCAGGAGAAACCCAGGAGACATTCCCAGCACAAATCACCTTGCCGCCTGCCAGAAGCCCAGGGCACTGAGTCTGGACTGAGGCTGCGGGGACTGAGAGGAGCTCTGGACCTGGGGAAGGTGCAGGGACAGGCAGCAGGTGGAGTTGGGCCTGGTCTTGGGCTCTGCGCTCACTCCCCTGACCTAGGGATGTTGAGGCCCCCGCCCTGGGAGCCCTTCAGTTGTCTTGATATCCCTGTGGGGGAGGGGGAAGGCTGCCAGAACCCCACCTCTCTGGCTACGGGGAAGGGGACGCAGCAGGCCTCCCTCTTTGTGGGCTCAGTGTCCTCATCAGGGGACTGAGAAAGGGGGTAGTCATTGGATCCTTGGGGCCTGTGCCTACACACACAAGCTTCAGCAACATCCAGACATTTGCTACATTTTGCAGGGGGCTTGGTTCCTCGCCTCCAGCCTCCCAGGAAGGGGGCAAATCGCAGCTGAGCCACACCCCTGCCCTCAGCTCATGCCCTCCTCCCAGCCAGCACCCAGGGGCCTGAAGCCCCTTCTCTGCCCAAATACTTAAGTCTCTTTCTGTGCCCAGGGTGGGTTGGGGGGAGGGCAGGAGCAGGGGTGGGACCGCAGGAGGATGTGCCAGGGGGTGCAAAGGGCAGGAGCAACTAGTCAGGGTTCCAGGGTTTAGGGAGGTGTGGGGGAGTCTGCCGGCAAGCTCCCTTGCTCCTGGTGTCGGGGGCCTCTGAATCCTCAGTCTGCGGGGCTTGGCTCCCACAGGCGGGGCAAGAGGTCTTTTGGTG